CTGCAGTGGTGCTTCTGAGTAAAAAAACTCGTATGTGGGGTAATCAGGTTGTTAGTTTTTACTGTTGCAAATCGGCAACGTCTGCCTGGAGAGGGTTAAAAGTCTCAGTGTGCCGTAGGTGCTGAAGATTACAGATGTGGGAATGAAGCCCGTGATTATAACAGTCAGGCTTACATTTCATCTCATTACGATAATAACCAGGGAATGAAATTAACACTCGAACGTCCTGTTGGGGAGCCCGTGAATACCCTCAGGAGCTGAGACACGTCAAATCTGTGCTGCGTTACCTGCCACAAATCTCCACAGTGGGAAGACGTTTCCACACGTCCTCTTCTAACAACACCAGCAACCCCAGAAACACGACTGAAGCCATGTTCAGCGCGCCATGACTCGCAGAGAGCCAACGCGTAAACGGCGCACGTCACAATGCAAAAGCACGCCCTTCTCATTTCATACGTGTAGCCTCTAGAATCACTCTCATCGCAGGGCATCAAAACCAACATGGCAGACGGCGCCGGCGACAGAAACACACGAGCTGGTAGTTCGGCACACGGGACATCAAGAGGAGGAACGATGCGTTAAAGCCATGTAGAGGCGACCTGCCCCTGAACCCAACAACGTCAGTGACTCCTTCATATCACGTCCGAGATTCTTTGTCATGACCTCAGTCAGTCCAACTTCAACTCGGCCGCTGCCAAACCTTCGTATTTTTCGATCAGAGGTTGGGGAGGTGGGAAGGCTCAGCACCGTTCCAGGTTTCCTCCGTGCGTGGATAACAGCTCTCACTGTGGTTCTCTGGAGTCCCAGAGCCTTAAAAAGTCTCTGTGACCGACTGATGGTGTCACTGGGTCGCGGCGTGATGTGCTGCTGTTTGAGATCTTTCAGCCTGCTTCACTTTATTTTTTTCAGCAGGTGTGACAGAGATCAGGTCTGGATTGTGAAATTGAACTCTGCATGTTGCATTTACTCGGTTATCTTTTGTCTTAAAGTTTGTTCGGCCAAATCCTTTCTTCACAGCCCTGTTTCTAAGGTTCAGCATGAATCACAAGTTTATCCGTTTGTATCTTGCTTCATATTTGTGATATTTGGGTTTTATTCTGACTCGCAGACACCAAAAACCTACATCAGGTTTAGGAAAGGCCCAACGTTAAACAAGTATAACCTGTACTTACATTTCATTTATATATTTTAGCATCCTCTCCTTCATTATTTGAGTGTTTTGTTAAAGTACTAGAAATACTAGATTATTTCCAGTCTGAGCTAGAAAAACAAGAACGACAGTGAAACGTTCGACCAAGAACTCCTGATTAGGATCTCCAACTCGAGCCAAGAATAAAACCTCAACGTGATTTCAGGGAAACTACAGAACACAGGTCGTCATAAAACCGGTTACCCGACCAGCTGTTACTTGACATGATTCTTCTTCACTCACTATGTGTTAACAGACCTCTGTTATTAATCTCTGTCTCTCTTCCACAGCATGTCTTCATCCTGTCTTCCTTCTCTCTCCCCAACCAATCACAGCAGATGGCCCCGCCCCTCCCTGAGCCTGGTTCTGCTGGAGGTTTCTTCCTGTTAAAAGGGAGTTTTTCCTTCCCACTGTCGCCAAAGTGCTGCTCATAGGGGGTCATATGATTGTTGGCTTTTCTCTGTATGTTATTGTACGATCTACTGTACAATATAAAGCACCTTGAGGCGACTGTTGACCGATTCAACTGTATAAATAAAGTTGAATCGAATTATTTCAGGTTTCGTTTCTCTGCGTGTCTCCAGTTGGCAACGCAGACGACTCTTTACAAAAAGGACGTCAGTCTGCAGCTGTGCGACTGTCCCCTTTACAACATGAACCCAGCACATCACAAAACTGTAACTTATTAAAGTTCATAATCATTATTTACCTCACACAGGGTCTCACAGCCCCTCAGTTTATCCTCCATTTGACATGAGCTGTCGAAGCTGCTCTCTCTTTACACCAACTTGTCTTTATGATTGGCTTCCCCTCATAAACAGAAGGCCTGACCAGCAGGTGGGTGGGTCTTCTGACCACATCTCTCCCACTCATCCAGCTTTGGAACAGGATGTGTTTGACAGAAAATAAGGAAAGGTGGAGTAGATCCCCTCTGAAATGTAACAGGAGGAGCTGGGAGTTGGTAAAAGTGACTCTTCTCACCAGTGTAACACCCAGTTCACAGATGACAGTACTGGGATGAATTTTCGGTGCTTTCCTGGCACTTCTCCAGGCTGCTGAACCTGATTGAACATCGCTTTGCCTCTGAGACAAAAGTCTGGAGAAGTGGTGGAAAAGTTCACATCTAACTAACTTTGGGTTGGGGCTCATCTCACCACGTTACCCGATGATCCAGGATAGCCGTCATTAAAGCTTTCAAACCCTGCAAAACAAAAGGAGCGCAGGAGCACGGGACTCCATACGTCGTTCGTGGTGCAGATTTATAACCCGCCTGAAACATTTCCTCCCCGTCCTGGAGAAAATGATGTTTTGCACCAATCTGTTCCAAGGCCGCTCAGAGGAAAATGGTCGAACGTAAAATCAATCAGGTTTGGTCTTCACCAAACAAACAGCCACGGAAGCGCCGAGCTCTCCAGAAAGAAAGGGACGCAATCGCTTTCCTTCTCCAGCACATGCCAACCAGCGTAAATAAGACTTTACTCTACGGACCGGCACATTCCCCCGAACGATCTTCCTTAAAACGAGTGCCAATTACAAGCCCGAGTCGGCCTCGCCCGCAGCGTAGTCGCACGTTTGAAATTTAAATCCGAGGCGGCCTCGCAGGATGATAGACGCGGCTTTACGAGAGATTTGAACACAATCCCCAGTGATGAGGTGAGGCGATACAGATCACTTTCACATGTGGAGGACTCGCTATCTGCTGCTTTGAGGAAAGATCCCCCTCTTCCTCAAAGGGCTGCCACGTAAACAGGTGGTGATTTAAGATTGGAAAACAAACAGTGAAAAAGGCAGAGACGGGAGGAGGGCTGAGGTGCACTGAGCTGATAATGCCACAAAAACAGCAGATCGAGTCTAAATGTCAGAGAGATTCTGCACTCAGGTGAACTTTACACGACCAGTGTCCCCATTTCCCTTTCCATCTGTATATGGCTGTGCAGCTGTGTGATGCTGCTCTGCCTCCCCTCCTCCAGAAAGAGGCCTCTTTATGCATTCAGCTACAATATAGGGGCTCAAAGTGAGCAGCACTCAGACTCAGATTAGGCTAAATTACGGTTCGGAGCTGCTGTGCTCCGTGCACCGACAGGAACACACTTTTAGAAACATCTTTTCCTACAAAAGCGCCGACTCTTGAACAGAGAGGAGCTGCCATCCGGGCAAAATCACAGAGGAGGACTCGTCTTCCTGCCTCCTGTCACAGATTGCCTCAAATAACAAAAAATTAGGGGGAAAATGACAGAATCATCGTCACGCCATCAAACAGCTGGAAAAGGCTGTTAAATCTGTCAATTTCATTGTGAAATCTCAGTTTTGTGGGTCTCGGAGCAGCTGGAGGAACTGCAGCTTCTCCGGTTTGAACAGGTTGAATCAGTGTGTGTGACGCTCACAGGAACATCGATGGAGCGGCGGACGTCTGGGACTGAGGACGGACGGCTGAGACATTCCCAGGCTGCACTCGGATGCAAAAACTCAAACTTGTGATTCTCCAGCGAGATTTGTCTAATGAGCAGCGAAGGCTCTGCGTGCGTCGGTGCTCTTTCGATGGACCACACTCGCTGTTTGTTATGTTTGGTTCACTCGGAGCAGAATCCGCCGCCCACGAAGCGGATGTGGGAATCTGACTTACCTGGAGACGAGACCGGGGCGTCCGGCCGAGTCACAGTTTTCAGTCGAAGAGTCCAAACTCGAACCACGAGCATCCTTGTTGTTTTATTCAATGTTCAAGGAGTCAAGAATTTCAAGACTTGGAGGAGCTCTAATTAATATTCTACCTTGGGCAAAAGACTTAGAGATAAGATAAGATGACCTTTATTAGTTCATCTTATCTTATCTTATGCACCACAGTGCGGTGGCCATCGTTTGCCTGCACACAGAATACGCAAAAAATCCATAAACTCACCACTCCCCGAGTTAGCAGACCTACAATCCTTCCTTTGTCCAGATCTTAGACGGATGGATCAATGGACCGACCAAACTTTCCAAACACAACTTGTATAGCAAAATCATCAAAAGTGATTTAGCCTCCAAACCGGGAGGAACATACCGCCCACAAACTTAGTTTCTAGTTAAAACTTAAAAGTCACTTCCAGAAATCCTTTTAACGGACCGAGTGTCCGTTTAACAAAAGGAAAACACTGGAAGAAAACGTGCATACATCCCTGCTTTAATGTGTTTCTGACTTTGAGGCTGCAGTGTGTTATCACAGCTATAATCCAACTGTTAGACCAACGGCTCAGCTTTGATGCTTTGACTAAAAAATTATATTAGTTTTATAAGTGACTCATCTCCTTGTACCCATGAAATGTCAGATAAAGAGCGCTCCTATTGTTCTCGCTGCGCTAAGCTTTCCAAAGCAGCCGCCATCTACAGAGAGACACACAACAAAACAAATGTTGGGAACGCGTTCCCCATCAGAGCTCGAACTTTTTAAAATACCGCAGCCGCTGTTAATCACAGCGTTTCGTGGCTTCATTTGATTTCTCCAGCAGATATTTGTTATCTGTCACTTTCAGATCATTCTGACACGCTGGTTTTTTGTTGTCCTTTTCTTGCAGGTATTTTGTTCAAACACGTCGTTATACTCGATGATGGTGTTGAATATGAGGCTGTGAAAAGGTTTCTGCATCAACACAAACCCAGCAGCTTAGCTGTGTAGCTGTAGAGCGACTTCTGAGACTCGTCCACACAAAAACAAACGTACACGTGAAACGTGAGTGAAAGACGCACCGGGGGTTTTGTTTACATCACCGTCTGATCATTTCTCAACAAAACAACCATTTCATGCACACGTGTGTCGTTTGGTTTATTTACTCACACAACAGACACGATGTCACCTCGTTGGACCTGGTAGTTTCTCACACTCCAACGATTCAGCAGGACGACGTCACACTTGGACCCCCCCTCTGGGTTGAGGAATGGCTGAACACAGAACCACAAACACAGTTTATAGAAAATCACTGTTCATAGATGTTATGTGTACAATCTTTGCAATGACAGGAACCTATTAGTTAAAAATAATCTCAGTTCTTATGGTCTTCTCCTGGGGTAGCACTAAACTGACTGGGAAAACAGCTCAAATCTGGCTGATAGCAAGACAACAGTTTGTGGGTGTGGCCAAAAATCTCTCACGCTCAGAAGCCAGTCTTTGCCTTCGGTGCAATTTTGAGATCTATGGTCAAAACAGGAAGCCGTTGAAAAGTAGCCGCCGAACAAGAAGACTAGATTGGAGGGAGAGCAGCCGAATTAAAAATCAGGTATGGTTTGTGACAGCGGTCCCCAACCTCGAGTCGTTCGGTAGCAGGCCGCGAGAGTTGAGGTTCGGGTGTGAAATTTATGGTTTTCAGCGTTTTTACCGTTATTTTTTATCACTTTTATCGTTACCTCAGTTTCCCTGGGTCTTTTCCCGTGTGTTATGAATACATTTCCTTTTTTTTGTACTGGTACTGGTTTTATTTTGCTGTATTTATCTGCGACCCCTTAAAGGCCAGTCTGTGAAAATATCGTAGGACCGGTGTGTCGCGCAAAAAAGATTGGGGACCGCTGGTTTATGATTTTAGTTTAACTTGACCAGAACGTCACTTTGTGGGAGAAGACGAGCACACAGGGAGCCAAGCCTGGTGAGGTTGGGTTGCTTTTAGATGTACACTGCGCAGGCGAGAGATGGAATCAACACGGTCCGGGTCATTTCTGCATAAGGTTCTCCCACGGGCGCCGGCTCTGCACTGATAGTCCGACCCCAGGGCTCGAACTCAGGACTCGGTGCAGTCCAAAGAAACAAGCAGCATTCAGCTGCTCACACACTGGAGCTAATGGACCATGCGTGGGTTTGAGAACTGTAGACTCTCCTACTGAAAACTCCTCCATGGTTGGATCCAGAGACTGGACAAAAGTCCATATGACACGTGTGAGTCCTGTTAGTCTTTTACATGATGTATACGCATTCACTGTTTGAGGGAAAGTTTTCCCTTTTCCATACGAGTTGGCAGTAACATCTAAACTTTCCCCCATCTCTTTCTGCAATCCCAGAATGACTCCACGATGCTGAGATCGGGGGCTTTGTGGGGTCCACACCATCTGTTCCAGGACTGCTTGTTCTTCTCTGCTTGATGATAGTCCTTTATCACTCTGGATGAATGTTGGGGCTCATTGTTGTGCTGCACAATGCATCCGAGATGATCCCACGCGTCCCCGACGGATAGGAATCTGAGCATCAGATGCATATAAACTTTTTGCACAGCAGTGTGCATTATCTACAGAAATTATCTGGTCTCCCGCAGAGTAAACAGCAGGCACCGTGCTTTCACACAACACATCAGCACAACCGGTAAATAGAAAGGGAGACACACATCCGTTGGCGAGAAACGTGATGTTTACGCAGGGCAAAACTTTTATTTGGTTTGCTTTAACAACTGGCGATATCCACACACCCCCTACAGAATCCCAACATTGACCCCCATGAGGCCGTTCCTCCTCAATATTCACCCGGTAACACAATTATAGATGTGTTTGCTAAATCTTTATTCAGATTAAAATGTTAACGTTTACCCAGAGGTCAGTGTCAGGGGGTTACCTACATAAAAAGGTTTTCTCATCTGAAGGCTGGGCACTGTTAACAGTTCAGGGTCAGCTCTAAGCAATAAGAGCAGAAAGACACCAGACCCACAGACTCCATGTAGGGGTTTAAGGTCGTTGGTATACTGTCTGAGATAGTTCCATTATTCTCATACTGCCTGTAAATCATCTGCTTCATGGATGGCACCAAACAGCACATCTCCATCCTCCGCAGCATCTTCACTAGGGCTGCCACAAACGATTATTTTGATAGTCGACTAGTCACCGATTATTTTTGCGATTAGTCGACTAATCAGATCATCATCCATTGGACGTAAAACTACAGCTTATTGCACCAGCAGCACCTGCTCTTATATAACTATCATTAGCTTACAGCTTTAAGTGTTTCAGGTCTGTGCTAACTAAAAATAAAGACAAGATGATAGTTTATTAAATTTTAATGAAGTTTGCAGATTGTTTCGGTGAAGTTTAATAAACTCCTTGCTATCTAAAATATAACAGGACACCGGAGTAAATTCTCCAGCATCTCACACTTCTGATAATCAGCTGTCTGCTTGACGTTTATTCAGCTGTGTAAGAACTATAACTTTAATCTCAGCCAAACCGATTTACTCAGGAACAAATAAAATACTAAAAAAAGCCAAACAATAACATTTTTAAGTTATCTAAGTGACTCATATATCATGTTTAACCTGAGTAGCGAAAGACGGCGGTGGGTTTGAAAACGATTTGCCGGGAGTCCAGTGTTCTCACGGCTCTAGTGAGCCTAGCCCCCGCCTAGCTATCGAGCTAGTGGGTAACACGTCTCCGAAAACGTCGGCGCGCTTTTGAAAATATGCGGTGTCCTGATAAACTGAGCAGATATTTGAGGTTTACACAGCTACATTCTCGCCTGAAAATATGTTAAACGTTTATTTTGTGACCCAGAAAGATTAATAAGAGTAATATTAAAACTAACAGCTACCGCCATTGTTGGAAACTGAGCTGGGCTGCGCTATGAATTCTGGGACACAGCTTCTTCTTCTTCGGGGTTTAACGGCAGCTGGCATCCTTGTACATGCAGTGCTGCCATCTTCTGTTTCAGTCCGTTATTACACTCTTAAATCCTGCTATTATTCCTGCGTCTTTTGTGATCTTACAAAGCTTCAAACGACGCCTCGACTATTAAATCAGTCGTCGACGATTTTGATAGTCGACGTAATCGTGACTAGTCGACTAATCGTGGCAGCCCTGATATTCACCTTCATAATTGTGTTAATCCAACATTTGTCCACCTATTAATCTATTATCTGATGTTTATCATGCGTCACAGTCAGCGGTCAAAGCAGAGAAAGCCATGCCTCCTCCCCCCGGATGCCTGCTTGACCTCTTCCGGCGTGTCCTATTCCTACTCCAGGGTCACCTGCCAGAGCATTCTTGAACACGTCATCTAGAGTCCAGGAGATGCTGAAGCGTCTCAGTTGGCTCCTTTGAATGTGGAGGAGCAGAGGGTTTGCTCTGAACTCCCACCCCAGCTCTAAAGCCAAGTCCCTTCAGAGGAAGCCCAGTTCAACTAGTCAGGGGTAATGGTACTAGGTGAGGGTAGGACCTTGGATCAATGATCAATCCTTGGGACAATTTCAGCAAACATTAAAATTATTTACAGTCTGTGCTTTTACATGTTAAGGTAACACCTGCATCGTAGAAAACTTGAATGTTGCCACTAATAACTATCATACATATAATTTTGTAACAATTAAAACCCAGTTTCAACCTCCCTGCATCGGTCCCTGTTTCTTTAATCTTCTGCTCAGCCTCCCCACACCCCGATGACTCGGTTTTACTTTGAATTATCACCCCAGCTTAATGAGTTCCCTTATGGTTATTATAGCAATGTACTGAACTATATGTGCTGCTGATTTATGGATGGCAGAACTCTGCATACGGCACCTTCAGGGACATTTTCTCCCAAAACAAATGCAGCGAGTTTAGAATTAAACTTCATCTGAAGAAATACCACATATAACCCTGACGCCAAATGTAAAACAAAACCTATATAAGAAAACTTCGTGTGTCAGCTCTTTACTTGGTGCAGCTGCTGGATTTCAGTAGTTGGGTCTTAATTGAAAATGTAACTGCTATGTAAAGCCAGAAAGTTTAATATCAGGCTTTAAAGGGGAACATGCATTAGTGGTTTCATATTTAAGCCCATTAGATGGAGGAAATAACGTGTTCTCGGATCGATCTCCTACCTTCCAGGCAGCTATTGTTTCGCTTTAGTCCAATAAAGCATGAAAATCAAGTTTCACAGCTGTGAACAATGGCTGTGATTCAGGTCTTCTTATTATTTCACATTTCAGAGCCAGCCACTGGTGAGCTGCCCAACTTTATATGCTGGAGCTAAGATGTGGCTCCTAAACTGTCTCTGTAAGGTTGAGGTTTTACCCTAAACCACGAGTATCTGTGAGCCTAAGGAAGCAGTTTGTGCCTAAATGACAACAACCCAAACCAAGAGTAAAGAAACATCAGAAAGCAGCACAAAAGTTTCATTTAAGAAGAAGTCAGAGCTGTCAGCTTTGGCCTTATGCATCTTTGGGAAGCTTGTAGATCTGTAAAAACGGGGCCGTTCTGGTTTTAGACGAAGAACCACGAACCTTTTTGCAGTCAGCCGTCTCCAGAAACCACTCAGAAACTGGGCACAAACCTTCCCCAGCAACTGGCTGCTGCCAGGGCGTCACTCGCCAGTCTTCATGAACTGGGTTTTACAAATCACCTGGGCGGCCAACTACTCGCAACTGGTCAGGGAATCTGCACTTTAGGGGGATGATCTGTCAGCCTGAATGACAAGACAATAAGAGCTTCATGCCACATCTGGCTCACACAACACCAGCCCTAACCCACATCAAGACTGACCAGGTCATGACTGTCGAGTCACATCTGGACCGCAAAGCATCGTTCAGAGGGGTAACGGAGCCATGAGTGCCAAAAGCAGCCAAAAATTGTTTGGGTGATAAATCGTGCCAACAAATAAGTTTCCAATATTTTGGATTGAAGAAATTATGTTTGAGAGTAAAGACAGATCCCACGTGGTTAGTTTACAGTCAGCTGGGCTGTCTCTAAACCAAGCATTTCATCTCGCCGTGTTGTAGCTGGGCATACCCGTGTCCTCTGAGACAGCTCTTCACACGCTCGCCGATGACCCCCCCCTCGCTTGTCTGACACCACTACAAACAACAAAATCATTACTCTTACAACTCTGTTCGTGTCACTTCATCAAAGGATCCATGCGTGACGAAGCCCAATCACACCAGCATGCAACATGACGCACGGCGACTCTTTCATTTAACAGTGCGTGCCCAGGCCATTTC